CATTCACTTTAACAACTTTAAATAGTTCCGTAGAATAGTTTGGAGTGTAGCCTTTTGCAAAAATAGATTTGTATTTGGAGATTCGAACGAAATCGCCAATTTTAAATTTAATCGACCCCATTACTTTGATATTATGAAACATGGGTAAGTTGGTCTCGGAGGTTACATTCTTAGGCTTCATTTTAATCGTGGAATGCTTAGTATCATTGTACTTAGAAGTTACTTCCGACAACACATCAATCCATTTGTATTTACCTCTAAGACTGAATCGTTTATAGAGGGTGTTCTTCAAGGTCCTTATCACTCTCTCCGCTATCGAAGCCTTTTTTACGCTATAAGTTGAATAATGTGTTATCCCATGCAACATCATAAGCTTTTGAAAATCTTTATTATAGAATTCTTTCCCATGATCAGTTTGCAAATTGTTAGGAATTCTACCCTCACTTATAATCGACGCCATCTTCTTGCTCACTTCGCTAGCATTTTTTGATTTTAGAGGGCGTGTCCATAGGTATTTGGAATAGCAGTCAATCACGGTTAACACATATTTATGCCCTTGATTATCTTTAGAATATCGCGTGAATTCAGCCAAATCAGCTTGCCAAAGATCATCACGATGTTTGATTATCGTTCTTTTTCGTTTAAAATTTTTTCTCGCCGATCTGTGTAACTCTTCAACAACACCGATCTTCGCCATCTTCTAAAACACTACCAACAAATGGCGGAGATTTAAGCATTATTAATTCGTCGAAAGTCTGCATACCCAGTTTTGCGCGAATTTCATTTAAGTGGTGCCCTATTTCGTATATAGCATTCAGATGACCGTCCATGATTGTCTTCAACGATTTAAATGCCATGCGTAGGTATCCATTTGTTACGGCATCATCATCGTTCACCGGATCAGCTAGATGTTTCAACCGATTACCACGCATATTGTATTGTTGGGTTGTAAAGTTCTTAATACAATAATCCACATACTGTTTGGTGGCAACATCGTTGTCTCTAACAGGATCGACGACGTTACAGATTCTCTTGTTTTGCATATCATAATCATCGGTATCGGTAAATTGTAGGGTATTATGGTTATATAATCTTGATGACGAATGTCTTCCAAACTTGTCAACGCTCATTTTCAGGCTAGGCGATTATACCTTCTTCTCGGAGCTCTTCTTCAATGCTTAAAATCTCGTTGTTGTGTCCGGTATGACCGGCCGCTTGCGATGCGTGTAACAATCTGAGACGTTCGACTAGTTCGTGAGGAGTATTCCAATACACATACTCCTTTAGTTTATCGTTAACCTCTTTCATCATACCCGCTCCAAAATGCTCTGATAGTAACGGTTTAATAATATTAACGTATTTGTATGACTTGGTGCCCATCATTTGTTGACGAGGGTCATAGTTCCGTTTGTATGCGTTAGTAGCTAATAAAATATCTTTATACAACTGACGATCCTTGAAGGAGTATGATTTTGGCTTCTTCAATACAAGCAATTCATATAGCCCTGGAGTACCAGTATAAAGGGTATCTTTTATGGAAATATCTTGACCTTCAAACGCTACTGTAGAGTCTCCAATAACCCACTCATTGGATCCGGGGTCATATCGAAGACCATAAACGTTATCAGTGTCTCCTGTTGTATCCCTAATCAACCGTTCGATATATTGACGAGGTAAATGATGGTATTCGTCTAGAAAATGTAGCTGCTGTGATAAGTTGCTAATCGAAGTTTCCTCCGGTTCACTGTCTTCTTTTTCTTCGTTAAGCGCTATTTCACTAATATCAGGCGGAAAATTAGATGGTGTAGTAATTGCGGTATTTTCAGCACGGCGAGGCGTTGTAAATTGTTCTCGCATTGGAGTTGATTCATATTCAATTTTTTTTTCAATTTTTGGAATTAATTCTGGTTTTTTCAACTCGTGCTTAGCTAGTGCCTTCAATGGGTCAACTATAGGCTTATAAGTCTCTTCTACTAATCTGAAAGTCTCGGTTTCGCCCCTTTTAAGAGCCGCAAGTTTACGTTTTATGTCATTGCGAGTTTTAGTTAATTTTCTTTTAATAGTCTGATCTTTTGCGTTCATCTTAACAGGCTGCTCGCAATCTACTAAACGAATTTAATACCTCTTGAAACTATTTAATCGGTTCAAATGGTCGAAAAGTGGTTAAAAGCGGTTCAAAAACGGTTTCAAAGCTGTTTGAAAGCGGTTCAACGGTGCTGTCCAAAAGCAGTTCAAAACTGTTCAACCGTAATATAGCAATCAAAACCGCTTCGATATCTCCCATAATCAAAATCCTTTACAATGCACATGAAATCGTGCTTATGCTTCCAGCACTTGGAACCCATTAATTTAAACTGTTCAAAAGTCATATCGCTACCAACATGCTCGTCATACACATGTTTTAAGTTTAAATAGTCTTGTTTAAATAGAACAATAACGTTTACATTATCGCGTATTAACTGCTTCGGTATCTTTGAATATGTTTGACAAAGATAAAATGAGTCCACTCCAGAATGCCGACCTCTACAGAAATAATCTCGAATTATGTCTTGATTTAAACAAGCAACATCATCAAATATCATGATCGAATTCTTGCTAATATTTTCTAGGGTTATTACATCATCTTTATCACTATAAGCGTTATAGTTAATGCCTTTGATGGGTTTAAGTACTTCTTCTAGATATTTATACTTTGGCTGCTCTAACGATTTGGAGTATACATATACATTTTCAAACTTCAGACCATTCGTTGCTTCCAACAAACTGATCATTACATTCGTTTTTCCGGATCCTGATGGTCCGCAGATGACCGCCCTAATTGACGCCGGAAATAAAGAGCCATGTTTCCCCGCCACTTCTGATTTAGTATAAAAATCATGATCTTCAACATCTAATCGCTGAGGCTGTTTCATAAACTTCATTATTACTCCACAGTTTGAGTTATACTAATCAGTTCATGGCTGATCACCGAGTAGGAAAGGGTGTTATAAACAGCTTGATAAATAAATTGCCTGTAGAACTTCATATACCGGGATATCAGTACTGTGGACCGGGAACCAAACTACAAGAGCGTTTAGCTCGCGGTGATCCAGGAATAAATCCGTTGGACGCTGCGTGTCAGCAACACGACATCGCGTATAATAAATTCAAAGACGTTGAGAGTCGTCATCAAGCCGATAAAGAACTTCAAATTCAAGCTTGGAATCGCGTAAAGGCACGAGACGCTAGTTTTAGAGAGAAAGCAGCCGCGTTGGCCATAGCGGGAGCGATGAAAACCAAAAGGAAACTTGGAATGGGGTCAAAACGACGTAAAGCAAAGCGTGGGAAGAAGAAGCAAACTTGCTCATTTAGAGGAGGGGTTTTAGATCCAATTCGAAAGTTAGTAAAAGGCGTATCATCATCAACAAAGTTGAATAAACTCATCAAAATGAGTTTGGTGGCCGCCAAGAAAGCGGTTAAAGCTGCAGGCGGTAAAGTAAAGTGCGAGTACCTCGAGTGATACCGGTACCTAAAGTAGGAGGTTTTCTTCCATTTCTAGTACCACTATTCGCCGGTCTTTCGGCTGCGGGCGCACTGGCCGGTGGAGCTAGTGGTATAGCTAAAGCAGTTAACGATGCGTCGACTGCAAAAAAACAGTTGGAGGAAAATAAACGACATAACATGACAATGGAGGCAGCCTCGTTAGGCAAACAAGGCAGCTCGCTATATCTTAAACCCCGTAACAAAGGATACGCCTTATATTTGAAACCGTATTCAACAAAAAACTTATAAACTTGCCGCGAAAAGCATTAACGGACTCGGATCTAGTAAAGTATGCCAAAGACGTACCCTTCTTCAGAGGAGTGTTTATGCGTGATTCATTACCGAGGAAACCTCATCTAAACGAGTGTGCCATCGTAAACCTGGATGATACGAAAGGAAAAGGTACGCATTGGGTTGCTTTCAAGAAACGCGGCAAGAAAGCGGTTTACTACGATAGCTTCGGCAATTTAACACCACCATTAGAAATAATCAAATATTTATCCGGTTGCAGCATCACATATAATTATGTTAAGGAACAAAATTATAATACGCTGATATGTGGCCATTTATGTTTAAATTTTCTGTATAATAAATAATTCTATACAGTGTTGTGTTTACTTTATCCTGCCAGTCATGTCTCGAACGTTCACTTTAACGGGCGTAGGCAACGTTCTTAGTACATCGTATTTTCCGCCAATTGAACTAGACCATAATCAACAATATGGTTTAGGATTGGTGGGTTTTTATGGCTGTAATTCTATACGCAATATCTTTAAAGGAAACAATAAATTTTACTATGCACCTGCCGATAGTAACATCTATAAAGAGATTACCATTCCGAGTGGTGCGTACGAAATTGAAGAGATTAACAGGATTCTACAGAAACATATAAACGAAGAACCAACCAATTCGATGGACTTTATGTTAAGACCAAATAATAATACGCTAAAATGTGAAATGAAGACCATACATGATATCGACTTTAGGAAATCGGATTCCATCGGTCGCATGCTCGGTTTCTCTCCTAAATTGTATGAAGGCGGTAGAATCCATGAATCTGATCTAGATGTGCAAATAATCAACGCAACAAATATACACGTTGAGTGCAACCTAACGGGTGGAGCATACAGAAACAGTGCACTATCTCATACCATCTTTGAATTTGACGTACACGTTGAGCCTGGTTATAAGTTAATCAAGGAGCCAGCTACTATTATATATTTACCAGTGCTCACACATCAAATAGATATCATAACCTTACGGCTCGTTGACCAAAACGGTTATTTAGTGGATTTTGGTGAGGAAAAAGTAACTATTCGATTGGAGCTGAAAAAGTATGGGGCTTAAAATTTTCTGTAAACAAGGTTCTTCGCTTAGTCATCCTTCATCAGTCAACACGAGTGTAAATGGTGGTGGTGCATTAACCGAAGACGACGTACAGTTTTTGCAATATCTCGGCTACAAAGTACTACAAAAGAATGGAAGAAGCACTAAAAAACCTATTCGTGGGCGTAAAGTACGAGGATATGATCGTGGAATGTGATCGTAGAACTTACCATCCTTACTCCGCAAACGCCTACGACAACTCGGATGAGATCAATCTTGTTATACAGAAAGCGGATCTCATCACAGTCACCTATGATAGCGTCATATACTTGGAGGGAACGCTTAATCCAACAACGCCTAATAAAACTTATGATTTCACTAACAACGCGCCCCTCTTTCTCTTCGATGAAATTAGATTTATTTTGGGCGATCAGGTGATAGAAATCGTTCGATTGCCGGGGATAAACAGCACTATCAAGGGTTTTTGCTCATACACGACCAACCAAAGCAGATGCTTATCGCATGCAGGATGGAGTCCTGCCGACTCTCCTCAGATCCTCAATAGCACGAAGACGGCTTTTTGCGCTTCCATACCACTAAAGCATGTGCTTGGGTTTGCCGAAGGATACAAGAAGCCTCTAGTTAACATACGTCAAGAGCTGATATTAATTCGTTCCAAGGATGATAGAGATTGCTATAAAGGAGAGACAGAGGTTAAGATTAATCTTACGAAGGTAACATGGAAGGTTCCATATGTAATTCCTAACGATGCAATGAAGCTGTCAATTTATGGAAGAATTAACAAGAATTCGCCGATACAAGTGGCGTTTCATGCTCGCGACCTTTACGTATACCCAACCTTACCCACCAGCAGATCGTTGGTTTGGTCGGTAAAAAGCAGCACTGGTTTTCAACGCCCTCAATGGCTACTGATTGCGTTCCAAACTAAGAAGCGAAATAACAAAGAAGCAGATGCGAGCAGGTTTAATCATTTGAGTGTTTCCAATATAAAGGCGAACATTAACAATCGAAGATATCCTTATGAGCAGCAGAATCTGGTCTTTACCGACAATAAGTATGTAGACGCTTACGAAGAATATTTAAATTTTCGAAATCAATATTACGACGCTTTGCAAGAGGGATCGCTTCTTAGCTATAAAGAGTTCGAAGATCAGCCCATCTTCGTTATCAATTGCACTCGCCAAAATGAGAGTATCCATAATGTGGTGATCGATTTAAAATTGGAAGTGGAAGCATCAGCCGCATTTGCACATGATACCATCGCTTATTGTGTAATTTTACATGATGTATTAATCGAATATGAGCCATTCACTAACATTGTGCGCAAAATCTAATTTGTAACACGTGTTTTCTGATAAATAATAAAGATTAAGATTATTACTGTAATCATTTCCCCCTACCACATATCTTTCCTACCGGTCCTTAAAAGAAAAGAAAATTTGAATTAGTATAAGTTTTGTGATCATGCAGACTGCTGTCATTGCACTTTTTTTGCTTTTTCAATGCTGTATTAGTATCAACGCTAATACGGTTGATGATGGCGATGATGATGATGAAAGAAACACAATCAGTGAGCGTGAAATCGATATGGTGTTTAGTCATCTCGCTAAATATGGATACATAAAGGAGCCTGGTGATGGTGAATCAACTCAAGATAATCGTATAAATATCACGATCAGCGCTTTAAGGAAATTTCAAGAACGTTATAAACTACCTAGCGATGGCAGGTTAAATGGGGAAACATTACAACTCATATCTCGGTCTAGATGCGGAAATTCTGATGATCCATCATCGTATATGACTCATCTCATCAGTATAAATGGTTAAAACAGACTTTGATTTACTATGTATCCAATATGCATGATGTGAAAGTTTTACAGATGACAGATGAAGCTTTTCAAGTTTGGGCGAAACACTCAAATTTAAAATTCAAATACAGCGCGCAAAACCCGAACATATTGATATCATTTCATTCCCGCAAGCATACATTTGCTTTGCCGCCATATCCGCAATGTATTTTTGATTTTGATGGAATGGGTGATGTATTGGCGCATTCCTACTTTCCATCTAGAGATCAGCATGTCGTTGAAATTCACATTGATTGGGATGAACGTTGGCATAGAGCAGATGTAAATGCACCTCCTCCTGGTTATTACTAGTTATTTCCACACCATATTACATGAAATAGGTCATGCTCTAGGATTACATCATTCAAACAATCAAAATGCGCTTATGTTTCCTTATTACAATCCAAATACTATCAACCTACATGAGGATGATATCGCCGGAATCCAAGCACTATATCCTCATGATACTATTACATCTTCACGTTCACCGGATAATAAAACTTATCATCTTTCAACACGTATTAAGACTACACCTGCTACTACCCGCAAGACTACTACTACTACTCGCAAGACCGTTAAACCGCCTGAACTGTGTAACGTTCAAATCGAACACTTTTTGATTCTAAACAAACGACTATATATGTTTTATGGACATTGGGTTTGGATATCTACGTTAAATAGCAGCAGCAAGGTGGAGTCCGCTAAGAACCTATTTGAGCGGCTACCGTTTCTTCCGAAATCTTTTAAACGTTTCGAAGCAATATATCAGAAACCTAACAGCGATGTTGTCTTCTTTAGTGACGGTCACATTTACATAGTACAATTCCCTACTTTACAATTGATGTCTGGATGGCCTCAGCCTTATAAGCGCTTCACAATTCCAGATAGCCATAAAGTGAATGCCGCAGTAAACACCTATACCGGACGCACGCTTATTTATCACGGAGTAAATGAACTGATAGATTTCGATGATTGTAGTCATCAACCTAAAAATCGGTTAATATTTGCGGATGCCTTTCCAGATATCCCTCTCAAGTTAACTTCTATATTTAAATACATGGATGGATACCTATACTTTATCACCGGAAATAAATTTCATAAATATAGTGAATATACAGGTCGTGTAATTCAATCAGGTGACATTGATCTATCCTTATTCAATATTCATTGTGCTAATAAAGGCGTTTTAGAGCAACTGTATGATGTATTAGCTAAACTTTTAAAGTTCGATAAACATATTGAATTGTATTTAGATCATTAAATAAAGGAAATTACTATTACTAATATAATAAGTTTGTGTACACTTGAACTATGGGTATGGATGAAAAAAATAAAATTTTTTTTGCTCGAAAACTGTTTATTTCAAAAACTTCATTTTACTAACAACCCTATTTATAAATTTTTGAGGGTGAATGTTTACAATTTCTGTTAGAACAGTAAATTCTTGCAAATTATCATATCTATCCTTCCAAGTGGATAGCGATGTTAACAATTTGAGATTTTTACATATCAATTTTCCTCTTGATAAAATACTATCTTTCTGTTTATCGGTGACATTTTCTGTATGTAGAATTTCAGCCAACGCGCGCGTAAAATCATCATAAAGACAATACATCGTATAACGGTTACCAAAATTCAATTTTTGAGTAATGACTTCGGAGGCGGTAAATATCATCTCGATTGCTTTCTTGGAAAATAGTATAGATCGACCTGAGCGACTTATTCGAATACATCTATCATTTTCGCCTTCCTCTTCTTCTTCCGTTTCAAGTATTATTTCAGGTTCTATAAATATTTCATGCTTGCTCCTTCCTTTTGGGGTATACTGTAGCATTTGTCGAATTAAGTGCTCAGTTTTAAAACTGAATATTTCGTTCCATTCAGAACATTCAAATTGCAAATACTGCAGGTCTTTATAACATGAAGATGAAGGATGAGATATTTGCACAACAGAATTGAAAAAATTCCCCTCCAGTAAACTCCCCACTTCGAGTATAATTCCTCCATCCAAGAATAACGACCATGCTGCTATTAAAGTTTCTTTTCCTGTAAACATTTAACATATTTATCATTTTGCTCTCATCATAATCGTTGATATTCATTACCTTGCTCGTCTTTATTAGCAGAAGTCGATAAAAATTCATCATCATCTTCGCTACTCCATGAATCTTCTTGCGATTGTTGCTGTGATATTGGTGTACTCATCTTGATATATAAGCGATTTTTATTTTCTTATTGCTTTTATACACTTCAAACTACTTTGGTGGGGATTTTTCTTATAGAAAACCATATAAGAAATTTAAATCTATAGTTTCTAGGGGGTACCTCCTACCGGGTACCCCTTACGCCGTACGATCTATCGCCACACCGGCGACGCATCGCGCGCCAAAACTTCTCGCAATACTTCAACCTCTAAATCTTCATATCACGAATACGCTGCTGGTCTAATACGCTAAACGGTCACGCTCGTAATTCACATATCCGTGGTTCAAACCCTCGCAACGGCAAAAATCTTTTTTTCTTTCATTAATTGCTGTGACGTCACGCCTGGCCCAGAACGTACAGATCATAATAAGTTTAATCAACACGTCACAAAATGGCCGACAAATATGCTCCCATTGGCTCACACGTGACCACGTGACCAACTTCCACGCTCCCCATTGGACTGACGTCATTTCCTGGTCCAGAACGTACTTTGATATACTACTAACCGTTATAAGCACAGTAATACAAAAAAATCAATTCATGTGACGATAATCCGTACATATTTTTAATCCAATGCAGGCAAAAAGTACAACGTCTGAAACCTAGTTAGGCAATACGTACCTTTAGTACTAGCGGTATACCAAAAGATACTGCATTTTCTTATACCAAGGTGCCACTTGGTACAGCTGTTCCTTAGAGCCATTTAGACGATTTGGCCCGAAGAACACGTGACATTTTCCGTGTGGGTAGATTTTAGAGGGGGTGGGGATGATTTATTGTAACATTTTTTAAAAAACTAAATATGGCCTAGAGACGAGATCTGGGTGCCGATTTCGTATGATTTTAACCCGAGAAATCCAATGGTAGCGCCAGAAATGTAATCCGGATACAGGAAGTCCGTGAAAAGCCGCCATTTTCAGAAAATGACAGACTTTTGATCGAATTATATTTCTAAGGCACACCGAGTCGTGTAAGGTGTCTAGAGTTATGCTTTTGGGGTCAGGGAATTCATTTATGATAACAAAAATAACCTACTACTTCTATACTTGTGGCAGCTTGGACTACAGAACCTTCCTATCTTTGGCTTCAAAAGTCCATCCCGTCGTTCTGGAGTTGTAGAGCTTCTCATCACCTGGTTTGCACATCCCCAGATACCTATGGCCAGCGACATACGCCGCCCTCCTTATGTGCTCCTCCAACTCGTGCTGCAGCGACACGGATGACCATGTTCCCCTGCATGCCAAAAATGTATGGGAGATTGCTCAAACAAAGGGTAAGAATATTGTATACTTTCGATATAATTTACTACCTACCGAACCTTTAATATTTATATGTAAAATTCCTTTTCAGTGGTGATAACGCAATCTCAGAGGAGGTCAGCGATGTACTTGGTGATTCTTCATAGGCTTATACATTTTTTACCCCATGTTTGTTAACGTGTATTTTTATTAAATAAAATAATATAAGTTTATATATTAAAACTTTGGAATATCTTGGGTTTCACCGCGTGCGACGTCTTCAAAAAGTGCAGTAGGGAAGTCTCTTATGCAGTTCCGATGCCAGCAGGTTATATTTGTTATCAAAAATGAATTCCCTGACCCCAAAAACATAGGTCTAGACACCTTACACGACCCGGTGTGCCTTAAAAATATAATTCGATCAAAAGTCTGTCATTTTCTAAAAATGGCGGCTTTTCACGGACTTCCGGTATCCGGATTGCATTTTTGGCGCTACCATTGGAATCCTCGGGTTAAAATCATACGAAATCGACACCCAGATCTCGTCTCTAGGCCATATTTAGTTTTTAAAAAAATGTTACAATAAATCACCCCCACCCCCTCTAAAATCTACCCACACGGAAAATGTCAAGTGTTCTTCGGGTCAAATCGTTTAAATGGCTCTAAGGAACAACTGTACCAAGTGGCACCTTGGTATAAAAAAATGCAGTATCTTTCAAGAATTTCCGTTATACCGCTAGTACTACTTGTTTCGTCGCGGTCCAATCAGAGCGACCCAATTTGGTCGTATAGCTAATACGTGGTACGTTCTGCCTAAATGCGTCCGGGTAGTTATATACAGGAGTTTGTTAGCGTTAAAGTTAAAGGTATAACTTTGAATTTCAAAAATTCTTCTGTAATAAATTTCGATCTGATGCGCGATATGGTTCTTAATAACGATAAGGGGTCAGTATATGTTTATAATGACCGAAAAATTGTTAGAGATAATCCCTATAATGCGATTAGCAGAGCCAAGTCCAAAAAATATAGATTCCAAACGACAAAGAGTAGAAAATTTCGAAACTTTACCGTTTGAATATAATGAAAATTTGTAAAAAAAACAAAAGCATTTTATAATAGACAAAACTCCTTTGAAATATTTATTTATATCATTTTTAAGGTAGGTAGATAGGTAATTGTTTAAGAAAGTGTAAATTAGCAGGTACTTAAAAAAAATTAGTACGTTAAAGTGCGTTACATAATTAGAATTTTTTTGTCTAATGACGAGCTTCACTACTATTACTAATACAATACCGAAATTCAATAAGTATTCCCACATGTCAATGTTTTCATAAAATAAAATTTTATTGTTATTCTACAATCGCACGTGTCCAGAAACAATGGCATTCAACTTCCGTTTCCAATACCGTCATATTTCGTCACGTAAATGCAAAAAAACGAGATTATTACATTTAATTTGATTTTTTTTAAGTGACAGCGATACTGAAGGTGATGATGACGTTCAATCGCTGCCATATGTGAACTTCGACACGTAAGTATCAAAACGATATTGTAAGATGTTATTTTTATCATTTATCATTTTTATTTTAAGGAGTGACAGCGAGGCTGTAGGGGATTCCGAGGCAGTGAACAATAACAACGTTCCGCCGCCGCCGACCTCGTCCCCTATACCGCGAGAGTATCTCTATACGTAAGCCCCAAAAATTGTTAATTATTTTGATTGCTTTTTTATTTTTTTTTTAAATTTTAAGTAGTGACTGATGACGATGACGAGACTGGGGCCTTGATGGATCGAGATGATGATGATTTGCCTAGAGTTAGAGATCCTGACGACTTCTATACTATAATATATAGAGGAATAGAAGAGGAAGAATTTTATTAATATTATTAGTATAGAAATGTAATCGTATAAAAACCAGCATAATATAAATACTTAATATCTCATCGTTTTGAATTAAAACGTTGTAAAAATATCTACAAAATCAAATTCATATCGTTGAAGATTAAAAAAGCAAAACTCCTAATCCTATCAGAACTCAAGTTAACTTCGAATAATAAATTCAAACTTTTGGTAACACCAAATATTAGTAAAATCCATATGGCCGGAATTTACTAATTAAAGAACCTTGCGAACCAATTATCGCCTGTGTCGCTCGACTATCCGGAACACCACCAAAATCCTTTATTTTGGACCATCGTGGATCTTGGCTTCCTGTGTATCGGAGTGATCGCAATAAAGCCTCGTTTTCATTAGCAGAGTTAGCGGTAGAGTAATCTGGGCAAGTACTAATTATACTTCAAACTCTACCAATGAAAACGTAATTGGTCGAGTAGAGTACTAGATTTTAGTAGAGTAGAGTTAGATCGCACGGTGGTAAAGTAACTCGCCCACTTGCCTTCTCCCACTACCGATTTCTACTTTCCTCTACTGTCACTCTACTAATGAAAATAGTGGAGCGTGTACTGAAGAATCACCGGTTTATTCTTTATTGTTTCATGTGGTGCATTTTGAAAATGAAGTGTTCCGAAGATATGGGGAGTACGAATGCCTATGGAATATTACTAGTGTCGATTATAAAAATAATTAGATTAGAATAGAAAGATTAAACCGCTTCAAACCTAATTTTTTTACACATCTTTGCGAGACATAATTGGCTTATGATGCGAAATCCAAAAGGATTCGCACCCTTGAAAAAGAATTACAGGAATCAAGCACCTCCACGATTGTGGTAGAAAGGAAAACATAATTAGAAGAGTGGTTCGTACTTAATAAACATGTTTCGTTGGTATGATATGAGGAACTGGGCTTGGATTCCACCGTTTCCTTTGATTCTGAAGATGTAGTGATATTTAATTGGCGCGGGGTGTTTTTAAATATATGAAGCAGAGAGTGATGGTTTGCATTGCACGTACGGCAAGTCGATGATGAGCGACATTTTTGAATGTGGTGGGAGCCCAAACAGTTTGTACAAAGTTTGTTTTGGTTTATAGTATGAAGTCTTTCTTGTGGGGTTTTACGTCTAAATTCAGGACAGGTGTAAATAAAATGATCCTAGTAGATAACCTATGTATGTTCTGGCGCAGGAAGTGACGTCACACCAATCAGAGACGAGCTCGTGACGTCACAGCCAATCAGAGACGAGCACGCCCCCCTATGCCCCTCCCCCTTGGCCAATGGGATACGGTAGGCGGAGCCTTTAGGGGCCGCCCCCTGTGGCGTCACAGCCAATGAGCGGTGTGGTCGGCCATTTTGGATCGGTCGCCATTTTATTAGTCACCAAATCCGCCATCTTGGATTGGTCGCCATTTTGTTAGTTTCTATTTCCGCCATCTTGGATTGGTCGCCATTTTGTTAGTTTCTATTTCCGCCATCTTGGATTGGTCGCCATTTTATTAGTTTCTAATTTCGCCATCTTGGATCGGTAGCCATTTTATTAGTCTCTAATCCCGCCATTTTGTTGGGCGCCATTTTATTAGTCACTAAATCCTCCATCTTGGATCGGCCGCCATTTTATTAGTATCTAATCCCGCCATTTTGTTGGGCGCCATTTTTGACCGTCTGTCTGTCTCCCTTTCTCGCTCCATCCGCCATCTTGGATGTTATTTTGGACCCGTCTCATCGGTCACGTGATTGCTATAGACAAAAATTTTTTTTTTTCAATCTGCGTTGGGAATCGAACCCACGATACGTGAATTACGAATCTGCCGCCTTAACCATCTGAGCTAAGCGAGGCTTTGAGATATGAACGTTTAGCAGTTCAAGTATTGTTAGAATGTGGGGGGAGCGCGATTGCAGGGGCGTAGAGGGTAAATCGTATGGGGTAGCAGTAGGAGCGGTAGATGCCCCTAGTAGGCCGTATAAGCTCACAAGCCACACAACGCTACGGAGAGCATTGAGATGTTTGCGAGTTGTAGAAGGGTATAACGCGGGGGTGCGTCGCCGATAGGGGCTAGGGGCTATTTGGCGGGGAAGCGCGTTAAAATGATAAAATAATACGTACGACGCTCGTGTGCGAAAAATAATTATTCATATTGCTAACTAGAAAGGAAATGAGCTTATCTTCTTTATGCTTTATTTTTATTTTTAGACGCATTATTCTAATATTACATTCTAATATGACATTGGTTTTCGAATATGCTTTGACGAAACACAATCATACAATAAATCATTAGCGGCGCGGGTCCATCGATGTGAGTGCGCTGCCACGGCTGGTTCCAATGCTTCTTACATCGTATTCGATTACGTAATTCACAGTCTCTTTGCAATACGTTGGGGATCTTGATCCATATTTTCTTTAGTAACAGCGCGCGAAATTTAGTTGTTTGTTATTATAATTAGGATGGGAAGCTGCAATCTCGCAATAGTGTTTATTTATAGCAGCTATGATAAGACGCTTAAATCGTGGGCGAAAAATCTTATCTTCTTTATGCTTTATTTTTAGACGCATTATTCTAATATTACATTCTAATATGACATTGGTTTTCGAATATGCTTTGACGAAATACAATCATTACAATAAATCATTAGCGGCGCGGGTCCATCGATGTGAGTGCGCTGCCACGGCTGGTTCCAATGTTTCTTACATCGTATTCGATTACGTAATTCACAGTCTCTTTGCAATACCTTGGGGATCTTGATCCATATTTTCAATAATTCCTCTACACTTAAACTTAACAATTCGCTCTTCGTCTCGATATAATTAGACTCCTTTTGAGCCTCTCGCTGAGCGATGTTGGCAAGTATTCGATCCATTAGCGTTCGATATGAGGATTTAACGCAATGATTTTTAGCATTACCTCGTTCGCAGTTTTATACCTACACCTTTAACATACACTGCGCATGATGGATTTCTTTTAATCCCCTCCAAAGTAGTTTTAAGAGAAGGTATAAAAGCAATAAGAAAGTAAGAAATCGATTTATATCGAGATGAGTGCACAAATACAACAAGAATCGCAAGATAGGTACCAATCACCTCGTCAAAGGAACTGCTACAATCATTCGCCTTTAACGTTTTTTCGTTTAATGATGCTGATTGCGGTATTTTTCATCATGGTGCTGGAATAATGGTGGGTTTATGGTTTCCTGCCGCGGTTTTCATTACGATCTCTTTTGATAATAATTTCCGCCTTTAACGTTTTTTTTTTTTTTTCGTTTAATGATGCTGATTGCGGTGTATTTGTTCATGGTTTTCATTTCCTGGTGATTAGTTTTCAAAGGATGCCGCGCGAGTATATGTTTAATGATGCTGATTGCGGTGTATTTGATCATGGTTTTCATTTCCTGGTGATTAGTTTTCAAAGGATGCCGCGCGAGTATATGTTTAATGATGCTGATTGCGGTGTATTTGATCATGGTTTTCATTTCCTGGTGATTAGTTTTCAAAGGATACCGCGCGAGTATATAAGAATCTCACTTATATTATTATAGATAGTATCAGAATTGTATTCGAGTAACAATAATGGATCTAAATAAATCCTTGCAACGAATTAACGCGATTGGAAATGCCGTTGAAAGAACCGTTATTAAAGTTCGAGACATGGAAGTGGGAAAAATATACGAAATAGAAAAAATCAAAGCAATATCAACCCAATATGGACGAGGGATAGTGTGCGAAATAGCGGGTAATGCTTCAATTTTCCTACCGCAGCGGATGGTTAAAGAAATGGAAGAAAACGTGATCGATCAATTGAACAATTTGAGGATGGGCGTCGTGTTAAATGGTTTTCTCAAGAACGATACGCCGAAAGTAGAATTAATAACAATAGGCAATTAAATTGGTATTGTAACAATAATACGAATAAATGTATTAAGCCTGCTTTTGTAATTTTCTGGTTTCGTTATTTGTTTTTTCTTATGGTCATCAAGGTTCTTGGCGATAAGGATTATACCCCCTCCGTAATTTCAACTCCTATATAAAAGCATCTAAAGGTATGTGTGAGCAAATTATAACTTGATTGGTTTCTATAACAAGCTTCAGTGCGCTTTGTATCTTCTCCAGTTTCAAGCCTCAAATATCAGGCAAGTGTTTTCAGATTATTTGCATATTTTAATTATATCGATTTAGGAAAAATGGCTAATACCATCGATAATGTAAATAGCACGCTTGAAGTTATTGAACATTTCTACAAAAACTATAATCTCGGCGATGTCAGCAAGATCCCGAAAATCACCAACATAATCGATGCCAATCTTAGGCAAATTAAATCCTCGCTAGCGGGTTCGATATCGGTTGGAGATAAACGGCACCTTGCAGCTATGGCTGGAAAAATGGAACGTTACAAGGTGCTTATTGGTCAACTGGGGAAATCTATAGCCGGCTCCTCCTTGGCTAGAAGACCCTTGGTGGAATGGAGGGATCTAGCGACCGCATTCAAGACACGTGTGAGTACCGGGATTCTTGTTAACCTAGGACATAAGACTTTAGGGCCATTTTTTCATGATAGTTGTAAGTTATTTATTAGTAAGATTAGAGGTATATTTCCTAGATATAATAGTCCGCTAAAAACAAATTTTGAGTTTTGCGCGGAATTTGTAAAACCCGCGATAAATAAAAATAATGAAGTATTAGCATGTAGGGAATTTAGTTTTTTAACAAAGAATTTTAATATCTTATCCGGGGATTTAAATGAGGCTAGCTTAAAACAATTATTTAATAGTAACGTAGTAGACTATCTGATGGATCGATTAATGCAATTCGAGGAGCAAGATAGTGGTTGGGCACTATCCAAGATAATTTCGTTAACTGTGAACGTAAACAGCGTGACATTGTTGCATGCGTCATCGTTTATAGAATTACCGAAAGAAATTAAAGCTAAAAAAGCGGTCATCAATGTTAAAAA